GAGAGTCGCTGGAACTGATGCAGAGAAACGTAGTCGATGAAAAGCCACTCCTTTCCCGTAAGAGCCTTGGCTAGCTTAGAAACCTGGTATCCGTAGGGGTCGCAATGTTCCATCGCCTCCCAGCAGTGGGACACCGAGATTACCTGGGTGCCGTCAGGCGCCTTGCCATCGGCCCAGACTTGGACCTCGGAAGGGTGACATAAAGCAGAGGCAGACTTCGGGCCCCTGCGGTCTTTGAGCAGGGAGATAAATGCAAATGGCATATCGCGCCTCTTCGTGAGTCACCAGTGCCGTGCGGCAGTCCACGTAGGCGGACTCCGCTTCCTGGCGCCGCGGGAGACGCTGTCCTTCCCGGTCCAGCTTCCGAATGAAGTCGGCTCGCACCTGGGCAGGACGCTTCATTCATTGCTTCACACAGCAAAACGGTCAGAGGTGAGATCCGTCACATGTTGATTATCAGGCAATGCAGGCAAGATCGGATGGCTGCAGGCCTTTGCAGATTCAACACTGCAGCCCGGGGTGTGCACCAAGCGGATGTCCGCATCTTTCAGGAAGTCCGCAAGCCCCTGCTTCTGAGCCAGGTCGTAGCGCTTGGACTGGCGCAGGCGTTGCGCGGCATCGCGCTGGATGAAGTTGCACACAGACCACGCATCACCACGCTCCAGCCTTTTGCGGCTCCGGAGCTGGATCCGGGCGGCGGAGGCGGCGCGCCAAGTCCTCGCAGCTCAGCAGCCCCTCGCCTCCGCAAGGAAGCATCCACCACGAATCATCTTTCCGAAAGCACACGGCACACAGCGTTTCTGATCCTGATGGTGCTTTTTTATTCCTAAGCTCCCAACGATCGGGGACAACGTCTTGCAAGATGTCCTGACCGAGTCGTTCGGAGCACAGGCAACAAACTAGGCGTGCAGTCCCTGCCTGGAGCATGTCCACGGTGAAACGATCGCCTGAAGCGCTTTGGGAGAATACATGCGTGACATCGCAAATCCCAGCAAGATCCTGTGGCAGCTGCAAGGCTCGACGGCATGTATTGTAAGGCTGCTTCGCAGTACTGCAATGGCCATGCAGCAGTTGGAGAGTCTAGGCCAGTCTCTGCGTCGCTTATTGACTTCGAGAAGTCTCTAGTAAGAAAGGACTGGACTCGCCACATGCCACCCAGCCAAGTTATTTGCCTCGTTTTCGGCCAACTTCATCGTCAAAGGTATAGCTGAAAGAGAAACTAAGTGCTGTCTTATGAGCTTGCCGCATTAATGAGAGATCATTCCTTACTTCTGAAGGAAGTTGAAACCCTACTTGCAGCTGAAGGCTCCGGCCTTTAAGGTTCCTGACGATGCTGCGGAGAGCGTCCTTGGAGATCCTCCGCGTGCCCAGGCCACCCTGGCAGAGGAGAAGCGGGCAAGAAACAGTCCTTGCTCGCTTTTGTGTTCTCCGGTTCGCTCGCTTCATGAAACCCCGCATTGCACTCCGAATCGACCCCGAGTCTGCATTTCACCAGACAACAGCTACTCCATTCGAGGTCATAAGCAAAAGCAATTCCGGCTCATGTCCAACTCACCAAGAAATCCCCGTGCGAACTGTCACCTAGACAGAGCTACAGACCGAGCAGACACCGCTCTGCCTGAACTGCCTGAAGATGATACCATTGCAGGGGTTGGTGTTGACATCACCCGCCCTCGAGCCGGTGGCACCAGCTGGATGTCCGCATGTTCGAGGAAGTGTGCCAGCCCGTTTTTGTCCGTGAGGTCGTACTTCACCTGCACGGCCAAGCAACGCCTCTGTAAAACGCAAAAACATCCCGCCGCACGGTTTTCTGTCGTTGATTTTTTTGGTGAAGTTGTGTTCTCACGACAGTTTCAACCACATTTTAAGGTTGTTTTGGGTAGGTAAAAAAGTGCTAAGTTTTGCTTGAGTGCTAGGAAACGTGTGGTATCAGCACGATTTCGGATGACAAAAAAATGAATGCCAGAACGCACGGTAAAGGTTACTACCAATTCCTCGGTATTTACAGGCTCTGG